ATAAAATGTGCACAAAAACCATATATATGTTTCTTTATTAACTTATACTACAACTCAGAGATAACGGTTAGTAACTATTAGAACAATTTATATATACATTTATATAAATGTAACGGAACTATTAAGATATTTATAACAATGACCCACAAATAATTGATGACAAGAACGAAGTAGTCCCCAGCATAAAGGGGGAAGGGGGGTCATGAGCCCCATGACCCCCCTGGATCGGCCCTTCTCTATATTTCCATTAGTATTCGATTATATTGTAATGCTCTATAGCATTTATTTACCGTCTATAAATTACTTCAGCTGTAGGTGTAGCGTCACATTTTAAATATCTTTTTCCATTTCTCCCATAATAAAAGTGATGTTCTTTAAAATGGTCAGAGCAAATAAGTAGATTTTTCACTGAAACCTCGTATAATTGCAATCCAAGAGCTCTTATCCATTCGCCTCTTCGAATCGCCTTCCTAGGGATGCTATAAAATAGGTAGGTGCATTATTTCTGAATACTAAATTTAAGCAACTATCGAAATGTTATGTACATATAACATAAGTTACGCCACTGGACCATATTAATTTTCTACATAATACTTACTTGTGCAAAGAGTGGTTGGGGAAATTGATCTTATTTTTCCCACACATAAACCAATTTGGCACCATTTCTTCTTGTTTTAAATTCTTGATGAACTCTAATTAATCACTCTTAGGCGTAAATTACCCAAAAATGAAAATAATCAGTCAAAATGTCGAAACACCGGGCCCGACGACTGCGCCTTGTTTACATTTCCCCTTACTACAATGGTACTATTCCGCATTTCCCCTTTTTAACGGTGTTGTCATGATGAATTTTTCATTAGGTTTTCGTGTAATTACCACCTTAACTGCTTATACATTTTTTAATTTAAAGTTTCAACGCATTTATTTTATTGACGTTTACTTGTCGCTTATTACAAACTGAACAAGTATAACACTAAATACCCGGATCGCTACCCTTTTCTTCATATTTTCTTGTTGATGCTACACATATATAGCAAATTGAATATTGAGCCGGCAAAGCAGCCTCGTGAGTACCTACTTGTGTACAGACTGTGAATCAATGTTGCTCCCATTTAAACATGTAAACAAATGCATATATATTTTTTTTAAATCTGATGTTGTCTCATAACAAGTCCGCAAACCTTGATATGGTTGACTTACCAGATGCCCATTGAGGGCAGAGCCACGCCCCAGTCCCAGGCGAATGAAGCCTGCATCTTCCTGATCATGTTAATGTGGCAAACGCCCCGGTAAGCGTCTGGTGGACATTCCCACGGGATTCGGTACTTCTTCAGCTGTTCCTCGTTCCGTTTCAGGCCCACTTCCGGGGCATTGATGAACTTCAGGACGATGGTGTTGTTTCCTTCGGCCTAACCGGGTGTTTAACCAAAGGGTTGAAGTGGGAAAACAGCGAACGGTCTGACGGTCTCACCTTCAGTATGTCTTTTACGTCGAAAACGTATCGCACGAACATGTTGGTTGTGGAGCCGACAGTCACATTATTGAGCACGATGTCCGCGAACGTGTCCACACCATCAAAGACCAAATTGACGTTCTCGTACTCCAAAAGAGTGGGATCAACTGGAAATGATCAGCCAATCAGCGGTGGTTCCTCAACAAGTGGAAAACGTATAATTTACATTTTTATACTCCGAACCGGGTGCGCGTTTAGTCGGTGCACGGCCCCAGCGCACATTTAGTCAGCGCGCTTGTGGCAAAAGTACTTTAGAGCCGCTGGATTTTTCCTCTTTGGTATCTTTTAAGTGGGAATTTTTTTAAATTGCTTCCAACCGGTCTGACAACAAAGCCTGCATATGTTCAAGTACAAATTTCCATTTGAGCCTGCACGTTCTGAAAATTGCATTTGAAGCCACCGACTTTCGAATTTTTACTGATGTGGGTTCTCTTGAAAAATTCGTAACTTCGAAGCCGACGCACATAACAACTTGAAATTTTTGCAGTCTAGAGAAGACATTTCGATCTTCACGTTCTGAAAATTTCATTTAAATCCACCAACTTTCTGATTTTTGCGAACTTTCTAAACTTTTTGCAGAAAAGCAATGTTTTTGCCAAATCAGGGTTCTTTTGAAAAATTCATAACTTTGAACCGAAAGCGAGCAGCAACTTGAAATTTTCGCAGTCTAGAGAAGATATTTCGATCTTTACGCTCTGAAAATTTCATTTAAAGCCACCAACTTTCTGATTTTTCCGACCTTTCAAAACTTTGTGCAGAAAATGAGCATTTTGGCCAAAATGTGCGTTCTTTTGAAAAATTCGTAACTTCGAAGCCAAAGCACATAACAACTAGAAATTTTCGCAGTCCAGAGAAGAAATTTCGATCTTCACGTTCTGAAAATTTCATTTGAATCCACCAATTTTCTGATTTTTGCGAACTTTCAAAACTTTGTGCAGAAAATGAGCATTTTGGCCAAAATGTGCGTTCTCTTGAAAAATTCGTAACTTCGAAGGCAAAGCACATAACAACTTGAAACTTTCGCAGTCTAGAGAAGACATTTCGATCTTCACGTTCTGCAAATTTCATTTAAATCCACCAACTTTCTGATTTTTCCGACCTTTCTAAACTTTTTGCAGAAAAGCAGCGTTTTTGCCAAATCCGGGTTCTCTTGAAAAATTCATAACTTTGAACCGAAAGCGAGCAGCAACTTGAAATTTTCGCAGTCTAGAGAAGACATTTCGATCTTCACGTTCTGAAAATTTCATTTAAAGCCACCAACATTCTGATTTTTCCGACCTTTCAAAACTTTGTGCAGAAAATGAGCATTTTGGCCAAAATGTGCGTTCTCTTGAAAAATTCGTAACTTCGAAGCCAAAGCACATAACAACTTGAAATTTTCGCARTCTAGAGAARAYATTTSGATCTTCACGTTCTGMAAATTTCATTTAAAGCCACCAACTTTCTGATTTTTATGAACTTTCAAAACTTTGAGCAGAAAATAAGCGTTTTAACCAAATGCGCGTTCTCTTGAAAAATTTATAACTTTGAACTGAAAGCGAGCAGCAACTTGAAATTTTCGCAGTCTAGAGAAGACATTTCGATCTTCCCGCTCTGAAAATTTCATTTATAGACACCAACTTTCTGATTTTTCCGACCTTTCAAAACTTTGTGCAGAAAATGAGCATTTTGGCTAAAATGTGCGTTCTCTTGAAAAATTCGTAACTTCGAAGCCAAAGCACATAACAAATAGAAATTTTCGCAGTCTAGAGAAGACATTTCGATCTTCACGTTCTGCAAATTTCATTTAAATCTACCAATTTCCTGATTTTTGCGAACTTTCTAAACTTTTTGCAGAAAAGCAATGTTTTGCCAAATCAGGGTTCTCTTGAAAAATTCATAACTTTGAAGCCAAAGCACATAACAACTTGATATTTTCGCAGTCTAGAGAAGACATTTCGATCTTCACGTTCTGAAAATTTCATTTAAATCCAGCAACTTTCTGATTTTTCCGACCTTTCAAAACTTTGTGCAGAAAATGAGCATTTTGGCCGAATTGTGCGTTCTCTTGAAAAATTCGTAACTTTGAAGCCAAAGCACATAACAACTTGAAATTTTCGCAGTCTAGAGAAGACATTTCGATCTTCACGTTCTGCAAATTTCATTTAAATCCACCAACTTTCTGATTTTTACGAACTTTTAAAACTTGGTGCAGAAAAGCAGCGTTTTTGACAAATGCGGCTTCTCTTGAAAAATTCATAACTTTGAACCGAAAGCAAGCAGCAACTTGAAATTTTCGCAGTCTATAGAAGACATTTGGGTCTTCACGTTCTGAAAATTTCATTTAAATCCACCAACTTTCTGATTTTTACGAACTTTCAAAACTTTGAGCAGAAAATAAGCGTTTTTATACTCACTAGTGAAGTTCAAAGCGTAGGTCCAGTTGATGGTGCCCACCCATGAGGTCACGTTGTCATTAAATCCAAAGAATACGTCATCAATGATCTCCAGGTCCATCAAGTCACTGTAGACGCCTCCAGGGACGGTGGTGGGAAACTCGTACCCTATTGGTCAGAAAAGTCATCCTCAAACCCTCAAACAAACGCCTACATACATACAAAACCCTTTTTGTTTCGAGTTATTTTTCAATTCAACTCTCAAATCTAGAAAAATGAGGTGTACTACACGGAAATGCCTTCTTTTGTCTATCAAAGGACAGCTTTTGAGCGAGAAATTTTGAAAAATACTCTGTTTCGCTGTATTTGAGGTAGAAAATGGTCATCAGAAGAGATTGACTGCAAACTGCCGGTGGAATATTAAATAATGTTTAGTTATCAGCAGCTTGTTTAATTTGGGGATTAACTCCTCATTTATCGATTTATCATCAGTAATTCTCGTCTACCACATAAACATTGTTATGCTTTTTCAATTTTGTTTCACGAAAACACTCAAAGGCAAGTTGATAATTGAAATTTTAGCCCCATAGAGAGTCTACAGTTTAAACAAAATATCCATTAAATAGGGAAATAAAAGGTTCTGTAACTGCCATATGGGCTGGTTTCGTTGTATCACTCCAAAAGCGTTTTGTAATACATTTGAGTGCCACTAGTGAGATAAGCAGACCGTTTCAAAGCCACTCTAGATGGGCTCGTTCAAGCAAAGAAAAACCTCTGGAAGATACTCACAATAGTCGGTTTCCCGTCCCACCCATGTTCCATCCAGACTCTGGATAACATTCACTTTGCAATTGCACAGAGCGAAACACAGCGCAAAAATCGCCAGCCCGGTCCCTAATCGAGCCATGTTGTTGCTTCGGCTACCACTTAAGCCAATTGAGCAAGTCGGGTACTTAGTGACTCTTTAAATCGATCACAATGATCTTGATTAGGACCGTGTTTTTTCAGATAATCACTTAATACCGATTGTTCCTAAGTGTTTGTTTCTTATTCGAAAACATCCATGAGCACAAAGAGTGACGCGCCGATCATAAGCACATCTTGGGAGAATCTTGGAACAAACCGTGTTTATCGCGTAATTTACACACGACTAACTAACTAATTTCAGCTCGGTTGAGTGATATGGATTTCATGGGCGTCCCACTTATAAATCAATGTGACACCCGAAGGTTTCACAGCACAACTCCACAAACGCGTTCTGATTTAAATTTAATAACAAAAAGAAAAATAATACAATTTTAATAATAAATAATTAAGTTCGAGAGCTCCGTTTCGCTATGCACTCCTTCACGTGGACCTCATAGTTGGTGCTGAATGGAACGACAGCGTCGCAGACCTCGCACGTGATCCTTTGGGGCTGCGAACTTTGGGGAAACATATCCTCCCCACAAGTGGAGGCGTGTTCCTAAACAACACAAGCGGGCTTAAAGGCGTGTCGCGTTGCTGCCGCACTACACCCACCTCAATCTCCCTGCGTGGAAAAGACATCGAGCAAAGGGGGCAGATTGCCAAGTTTTGCTTGCTTTTGCTCTTGGGCGTCGTCGATACGGGCACCTCTGCTCGGCTGCTGTTATTGTTCAACGCCCTTTTAGGCAGGAGAGAGTTTCGGTTCGCTCCATTGGCCAACGGGCTGGTTATTTGCGGCAAGTTGAGTTTCCTGGCCACGTTTATTGCTGTTTCTGCAACTGAAAATCCGGGACGTCAGGGCGGATCAACCGAAGAACCTGGAATGGGTGTACCTGTGTCGATGGCCCCCTTTTTGCCCCAAATGGGGCTGCGGCGGATGGGTAACCTGGGTATCACTCGCCTCTTTTCGACCACCTCCACATCACTATCTTCCACGTGTTCCGAATCGAGGATTTCATCTTCATCCGCGTCGCCATCCACCGACTGTGCATCTAACGAGTCGGCGAATTTGCTCATTTCGTCCTCTTCCCGGCGGCGATTCTCCTCTTTTTCTCTAGCTGGGCATCCAATAGACGTTCAGCTAATATTCCCATGTGGAGCGGGAGGCTTACCTGCATGTAAAATAGTGGCCACTCGGCCCCTCTTTGGGGTGGTGTCCAAGTTCTTGAACAGTGTACTCCTGGCGATGATTTCCTGGTTGGACAGCTGCCTCTTTTGGTAAATGCGCGATTTTGGCGTTCCCGAAACGTCCTTGCTTTTTCCCAGCGATCGTCCTGCTTCATCCACTGTGGAACGTGATTGTGATTCAACTGGGGCGCAGGAGGAAAAGCTCCACTGTTACCTGCCACGACATCCTGACTGCTATCAGGCGATTCGCCCCGTTTCGGCCTCGAATACTGTTTGGTCGTGCATGCATCTTCTGCACTGCTACTGGACAGCGCCTCACTGCTTTCCCCTTTTCTCGCATTGCTCTTCTTGATAGGCGCCTTCACCCCCCAAGTGTCGTCATTCTTCGACTTTTTATGCGGCACTGAAAACTCTTCGGTTGTTGCTTCATAATCATCACTGTACACCTACAAAACAAATACACTAAACAATAAAGTCAACATCAAATGCAATTGTGGTGCAGAGCCCTTCGGGCACGTTTGATGCATATTCAACACCAAATTACCTTTCTCTTAGTCATTCGGCCCGATCGACTCACATAGGTTTCAGTCACGCCGAGGGCTTTGTCCTCCTTTAGGGCAGACAAGACGGGATTGACCAGCAAATTGTGGTTCACTGCTGTAATCGGTTTCAGCTTTGGGGCCATATTGGGCAATGTTCTCGCAAAGTCTTCACTCAATTGGGCCACAGCAGAGTGGTACTCCGTAAGCAATTTCACGCGCGTTTGTAGATCAGCGTCCAGAAACTGGCGGCTGTTTTGAACGCTGATGTATTGCGGCTCATGTGGAACTATCCGGAGCGTGTTTCGGTTGCTGCTTTTCGGCATCTCGTTGAATGTGATCTTGTCGATGTCCATAACGCGACTGGATTTTTGGACTTTTTTCGCCTTTACGTCTGGCAAGTAATAATAATGATTATCGGGACTAGAATGGTGGCAATTATAAATCACCAACTATTGCCAATGTTATGTAACATTAACACCTGGACGAAATGGTGAATGTCTCAGTGACTGCAGGCACGACATTGTTGGGCCTCTTGACAAATGTAAGATTTCCAGCTGACCAAGCAAAATCACTCGGTAAAATAATCAGCAAGCCGTTTGCTTACCTGTGGCATGATTATAGTTGTTATTCGCCTCGTCCTCAATGGGCTTGGGCTTGGCCTGTTCGAAACTGTCGGGGCTCAAGCCATCCAGCGATTCCTCATCATTGTCCAAATTCTTTTCAAATAATCGCCGTTTCTTTGTCGGGGCGACCGACTCGGAATTGTTGATGGCTTCGAGAAGCTCATTGGCACTATCGTTCAGGCTTTTTGTGCCCTCCTCCACTTTAGTTTCCCCGATTAGCGAGCTCTCAGAGTTTTTGATCGCCTTATAATACTGCGATATCAAGTCGTCAGATAGATTGTCCTCGTAGATATTTGCATCTGCAATTTGGAAGATTCTGAGTTCACACTGAGCTGTTCTGGGGGGCACCAGTTTTCAACCCAATAACAGGAAATGCGCCCGCCGGGCGCCCTACTTGATTTACCTTTCAAACATTGCTTCATCTCCTCCTTATTGACCAGGCCAGCCATTTCGCAGGATCACTAAACGGCCCCCTGATTGGTAAATGAAAAATAAATCTTGGCTTGTTTTTTTTTACATAAAGTTTTGTTAGGTTAGTTTTGACAGATGACGGCCGATTTGGCGGCATCCACTGTTGCCAGTGGGCATTCGCTGAGCGTTCTGATGTGCTATCTCTTTTCCACACGTGGAATTGTGTGCAATACGGGTTGCCGTATACCCAGTTAACCAACAATCTTGAAAGCCCGAAATAAAAATTTGCCATATCGTTAACGATCTCATTGAAAATAAGGCAAATATTCATTTTCATTGGTTGCGTCCATTCGATGCGTAGCTGTAACCGAAGGAGTTTTTCTAGCCAACTTGACATACACTTAACAGTCCACGTCATCATTCGTTGTCGATTTGTAGTGATCTGTCAATGGTGCCCTTTTTAATCCCTTTTTTGTTCTAAAATTGTTTGCTGCAAGCTGAAAAGTTGGGTAAGTTGACTCTGTAAATAATAGGCTGCTTTGGGTTTAAGTTTTAAGCTGAAAAGTGGCTGAAAAACGATATGCGCCATAAAACTCTTTGAGATCCCATAACCCCACTTGGAAGGTGATGCAGATATGCGTTATTTGAAGTATTTGCGTTATTTTCAAGCATATGAACCTTCCCTGTTCCGCAGTTCAGTATTTATTGTCCCTATCCATAGATACTGTTTTTAATGCGAGACATTTGCTCTAAATTTTCCCACAAAGAGGCGCTGTTGCCGGGCTTGCAAACTTGGCGCTGGTGCCCCTAGATGCCAGTGGCGTCTTCAAAATATTCCCTGAACAAAGGAAATTGCTCTAACAAGGTAACCGGGATGTTCTATTCAGGCTAGTCTTGAGCTGGCCTAATGAAATAAAAACTTGGGGATGGCATCTTTGCGATGAAAACGTCGCCAACCAAGCGGGAAATTCACTTAGGCTTGCCACAGTGACCGAGCATTTTCCGCAATTTCCTTTCTTCGGCCCGACAGGCGTTTTGAGCCCAGTTATTGCCGGAAACTGCACTTTCCGGCAGCGTGAATTGCACGACTCTTTAATGCCATTTTCATCCGAACTGATTTACAACTATTAATCCAGCCGTGAACTTTTACTAATGAAAATTGTCGGCTGCCCTTGCCAATCTCCTGCCCATATTCGCGTCTTAAACTCGGGATAATCCCCGTTTTCGGTAATTGAATGCTCGAAACACTCTGAGTCGTTTAGGCACAGGTCGCCGATCAAAGGCCATCACCAACATATGGGCGCGTTAATCCTAAACTTTGATTTGCCTGCTGGATATCAACAGAAGGTGGATTAGAACAAATAATTAGCTAATGGAGTTTGGGGGCCAGACATGAGCAAGGCCCGACCAAGACAAGAGTATGATCTGGAAAGCCCACTTGGGGACAGTAAAATGTGGAGAAAAAATTGTATTTTTGTCACCAATCAAACGGTCTTCAAGGAATTTTCCCAAAAAAGGGTTTTTTTCAATTTTTTCGGTACTCCAAGTGAGCCGCTATAAGCAAGAGCAGGCTCGCTGATCACCAGCCAGCTCTAAATGTTATACCCATTCTCAGAGTTTTTCACGTGGGCACGAAAACAAATTGCTGATCTTTTCACCAAACAGTTGGGGCCCCTGAGGCCGAGACTGGGGCCCCGACCCCACCAAACACGAGCATACGTTCTTGACTGATGCACTTCGAAATTAATCTCCACTTGAGGGCAGCATGCGGATGTTTTGCCAATTGGCAAACGGGCATAGATTAAATCCTGTAGCTGTTTGCTCTAGAGTTTTATTCAATATTGCCGGCCTGGGGGCGAGAAGCGGATTCTATTTCTTCTCCATGTCAGCGACTAGAATTGAATATATATTCGGGTTTAAAGCGCTGTAAGTATTCTATATGTTTGCACGACTTTACCGCTAAACCTTGTTCTTTCACCTCTTCTTCGATGCCGATATGCCAGATATTTTTCTACTTTCACTGGTTTTTAACGATTTCTAGAGCTGATCTACCCCCGYTTTGCTTCCRTGGCTGGTCCCTTTTTTCTGGGGATTGTGGAAATGCAGCTTTGTTGGRGTTTGATTGAACTGAAACAATTATGTCTTCTTCGGTTCGGATCCTCTGCCGAAGAAAGAAGAAAAATGTTAAAGCCGCTGCGCTCGTTTCTCTGCTACCCCCCCCGCGGCTTTAAGTCGCGTGTGGCGGGCCCGCTCGGTAATTTCGCCGCGGATCATGACCGCCCCAGGCCCCTCGTGGGCCCACGACCGCCCCCC